GCCCCCCTCTGCTGCCTGCCTGTGCAAATGGCCGATGTCCCTGTGCCTAGAGTGTGAGCTGGAAAGCTGCCTGATGCCACTCACGTGAGCGGTTTAACCTCTGCAGCCCTGCCACTGGATGGCAGCTGCCCTGGAGCACAGCTCCCTGGCCCTTTTTTTTACAGGGTGCTTCTTGCCCCAGGGGTCCTTTCCCCTCATGTCCCAGCTCCTGGGTCTGAGTTCTGCTCTTGAGCTGGGCGAACGGCCAGGCACGTGGTTTGAGATCTCGGAAGCTGATGAGCAAAAGGATGGGCCCTTGTGCATTAGTGACTATCCATGATGTTTAGCTTCCCCACCAAATCACTTGGCCCTTTTCAGTGGTCATCAGGATGCTGTCTTATGTTCTTCTGGTCTGGGGCTGTAAGGGGAGTTGGGCAATGAGGCTGAGATGCTCTGACATCCCGTAGCATATCAAAGAAAAGCTGGGGCACTTGCATGTTTGTGCTTTAAACAGCCGAAGTGGTTTAATGTTTCTGTTGCTTGGAGAGATGTGGTTGCTGACTGTATGTGGTTGTGCAAAACAGATTGTACCTGCTTGAACTCCTGCTATAACTGTGGGCAGGCATGTAACTGTGAGGGACAAGTAACTGTGTCTCTCAAGTGATGCCAGCTCTGCAGGAAGTACCTGCACTCTCTGTTCCAGTCCCCATGCTGTGCTGATGTCCTGCCCAGGGCAGGAATGTGCCTACTGCATGCGCATAGCACCCTTCCCTGTGCTTGCATGGAATAGACACATGGACTGTCCCATCAGTCCCACATTTGCAGAGAGGCCCCTGGCCTTCAGACACATACGTGCTTGGTTTTGTGTCTGCTGATGGATCCGACCCTGTATCACGTGTCCTCTCTTGCATGTGAAAGGCCAACACACCTGTGTGTTTGCATCTGTGAGATGACACATGCTCCTCTGTATGTGAATGTTGCATGCTGTTTCCTGCGTACCATGTGCAAGCAGATGTGCGCATGCCCAGTCACACAGAAATACACAGAAATGGCTACCTTACCCCTGTGCTTTAGTATGAAACTTTCACCCACGTCTAGGAATGTGCATCAGGAGCCCTATTCCCTCATGTGGCTTGCTGGCACTCTACCTGGCCTGTACACTGTGTCCTTGGTGCTGCTTCTGTGTGTAGCTAGGCCCACCTCCAGTTGGAGCCTTTCCAAAGGGCCGAACTGCTGCCCTGTGGGATTTGGGGTCACACAGTCCATGTTCCCATCTGTGCAATCCCCTTGATGTCCCTCTGTCACAGGCACAACCCTGTGACATCTGCCGAGCATCCACACATGCCGTGATGCTGGTGGTGGGTCTGTTTGAGAGCAGTAAAGGACGTGGCTGAGTTGATCTGACTAATTGCAGGCAGCCTAAAATGGTGGCATGGGTTAGTGACAAGGAGGTGGGTAGAGCATAGGGCAGTCGCTCAGGACTGGTCTCCAAGTCCCTGCCTGTGAAATGAGGATAACAACACAAAACACAACCTCTTTTGTGAAGTGCCTTGAGACTGGCTCAGAGGTGGGGATAGGGAATATCCTTCCCCCAACCTTGATGGGGCTGTGGGCCAGGACCTGGGAGCCATCACCCCTGGGGAGCACCCTTGCAAGTGCCATTCCTGCCTGTGCTCTCTGCTCCATTATTACCTGCTGGATCAGCACTGAGGGCAGATGCAGCAGGTATCCCTTCTAAAGGGACCTGGCATTTGAGCTGTCTCCTGCAAAGTGGAAGATGCAATCTGAACACCTTCAGGTGCCAGGACTTGGCCCAGACCTGCTCCCCTGGAGAGTAACGGATCTCTGCATGGGGCAGTGGGTACAGACCTTGTTTCTGCTCTCACACTCTGCAGACCATATGGACACTAAGTGCTCAACAAAGCCTGCAGAGCTGCTCCCACCCAGGGCAATGCCAAAGGCCTGAGCTTTCATTATAGGTTCTCAAAACTGGCCCGGCAGCAGTGGCTGCATTGATCTTCTCAGTGGGGTTGCTCAGCTGCATCCTTCTCTTCCTCTTGCAGACATCTGGAGCTTGGGTGTCATCCTCTACATGCTGGTGTGTGGCCACCCACCCTTCCAGGAGGCTAATGACAGCGAGACGCTCACCATGATCATGGACTGTCGCTACACTGTCCCACCACACGTGTCAGCACAGTGCTCTGAGTACGCACCTCTCCCCACCTGATCCCACTCATTCCCCCCACACCGGCATGTCGGGCCTCCTGACCCCAGTACAGCCTGCCACAGGTGGGCACCCAGTGGTGCTGCCTGACTTATTCCCTTGTGGGTGGGTACCCAGTCCATGTTGGGGTGGGGATACTTGGAAGTTGGATGGGCAATAAGTTGTGGACTTGCAGCAGCTCTGAGGTGAGTGCTATCAGGTCTCAGATTGCAGCTGTGCTGGGTTTGTGGTTTGTGGCCCTATGCACACACTCTACTGTTGGATTGATGCATCATGCCCTCTTCTGGCAGTCTCATCTCCAGGATGCTGCAGCGGGACCCCAAGCAGCGTGCTTCCCTGGAGCAAATTGAGGGCCACGCATGGCTGCAGGGGGTGGACCCATCCCCTGCCAGCCACTCCCTGCTGCCCCTCACGTCACACAAGCGGGTGTCCGAGGAGGAGCACAACATCATCATCCAGGCCATGACGTGTGGGAACATTGCAGACCGGGACACCATCCAGGAGTGAGTGATGGGGTGTGTCCCCGCACGTGCAGTCAATGTTGTCTGGCTGTCAGGTGGGAGGGAGCAGAGGGGATACTGAGGCAGGACTCCCTAAAGAAGGGCTCCTGAGGCTTGGGGGGCTGGGGGATGGTCCCTCTGAGCACATCTCCTGGGTAATGCATGGCCAGCAGCGCTCCTTCACACACTGATGTGGGTGCTGGGCTTGTCTCTCCCTTTCCTCCCCTCCCCACCATAACCCCTAGGGCTCTCGAGGCTGACCGCTACAACCACATCACGGCTACATACTTCCTGCTGGCAGAGAGGATGCTGAGGGAGAAGCAGGGCCGCCGCCTAAGCCTTGTCTACAACCTGGCCAAGCAGGTCCAGAGCAGGTGAGCCCCGCTGCTCCAGGTCCCCATGCCTAGTGCCCCTGCCAACATTGTACTGGGCCCTCCAGTCCCACAGACCAGAGCAGGCAATGGCCAGCCCTGGCTCATGGCCCACAGCCAGACTGAGCACATTCTGCAGGTGCAGGATGGAGAAAATGGTCCCCACAGAATACCAGGATGCCCATGTAGCCCTGACGCAGGGCACCTGCTGGCCCCACACTCCTGTTTATGCCGCAGACCGCACTGTGCCCCTTTGTCAGTGCATGGCCACGCTCCAGGTTGGGCTCTGACTCCTCCATTCCCCCCATGTCTCAGGACCAACTTGTCGGACACTTTCAGCCCTATGGGCAGAACCAGCGACCTTTCACCTTTCACAGAGGTGCCAACCAGCCTCACTGCAGGTCCCAGCTCCCAGCCACCCTCCCTGCACATCAGGGGCAGTGATGGAGATGTCAGCCATGGCAGCAGACAGCACACTCGAGCACTGCTGAAGGCCCCTATGATCGAGACAACTATTACCAAGAGCGCCCCGGCCCTGCAGCAGATCTGCGAGGAGGAGGAGGAAGACGAGGAAGAGGAGAAGAAACCCAATGTGATTGAAAGGAAAAGCAGCTCATTGAACCAGGAGCAGATGCGAGACTTCCTGCACTCCAGGGCCTGCCGTCTGTCATGCCACGGGGAGGCACTGGGCTTGGGGGCAGAACCAGCTCCGTGGCGTGAGGCAGGGGGCTGGGGCATGTGCCAGCCGGTGACAGGTGCTCGGGGATGTCCTGGTTGGGATGGGAAGGGTGGGATCAGAGAAGGGCATGGAGAGCTCGGGGCCGGCAGATGCTCCCTGGAGATGCGGGGCAATGGAGCAGCAGGCAAAGCTGAGCCCACCATGAAGAAGGAAGCGGCTGAGCGCAGGGACGCTTGGGCAGAGACCCCCAAGGAAATGGGTGCTGTGCTGTCACCCAAGAGCTGTGAAAACCCTCGTGCTGGGGTACCACAGGCCCAAGGGGCAGAGACAACCTCCACTACCCTACTGGGCTCACTGGGGCCCGGGGTCAAGTCCCAAGGGCCCGAGGCACCCACCAAACCTTTCAGCCAAGCCAAGCCAGTGGCAGAGAGCTCCATCCCTGGCCCTGGGGGCACGGAGGCAGGTGTGGAGAACGTGATAAAGCTGGACCCAGGTAAACACAAGAGTGCCAGCCTCAGAGAGAGGATCCTGCAGTTCCCACTGTGTGAGAAAGCCCTGGCCTTCAAAATCCGGCCCAGCTCCAAGGAGAGCCTCCTGTCATTGGGACAGTTCAACTGTTGCCATGTGATTTAGGCCCAGGCCCATGGTTTTAAGGGAACCACCCCATCGCTAGGGATGTGAGTGTGGCCCCATGACTAGGGTGCTGGCAGGCACAGGGCTGAGAGGCATCATGCTGTTTCAACCCTGTTCCCTTCTGTTTCATCATTCCTTTGCCCCACAGAGCAGAACCTGAGGGACTGGGGATGGGCATGCTACCCTCCCATGTGGCCCTGCTCCACTTGCTTTTCCACCCCTTCCTGCAGTCCCCAACCTGCCTGCTCTGTGCCACTTCCCACTGGCACCCAGGGCCTAGCTTCCACCCTGGGTACCTGCAGCTGCTCTTTGCAGGCTGGCTGGGCACCAAGCAGGAGGTAAGCTTGGACAGAGCATCCCCAGGGCACCAATCACAGTCAGAGAGAGCTGTCACCCTCTCTGGGTCATTGGGACAGCCCCCAATGCCCAGCAAAGAGCCCCATTTCCTCCATCTGGGCTAGAAATGAGGTCTATGGTGGTTGTGCAGCTGGCAAATGCTGGTGCTACCCATTTCCTTCCTACCGTTGGGCCCACCCTCCACCAGGGTGGGGTTCCCTCCCTGCACAGGTTGACATGCCCTGAAATCCCTTGGGCATCTCCAGGGTCCAGCTGGCCACCAGCCCACCACTGGCTGGGGGATGGGGAGGCAGATGAACAACAACACATTTTTTAACTACTAGAAATAATTTTTTAAAATAGTCTATTTTAATGTAATTCAACAGAGATTGCTATATCCCCCTACCCCTACCTGAGCGCTGCTGGGATGGGGGCAGGCCCAGTAGCATACATGGCCCCAGGGCCAGGCTGTCCAGCCAGGCCACCCCCTTCCCAGGGGACGGCTCTGAGGCAATCACTTCTCCATCTGCAGTCCTTCCTGCCACCCTCCCCTGGGCTGGATGTGGGCACAGGGCTGGGGCCAGGCACAGGCCTGCCCCATGTGTGCACCCAATTGAATGCTGTCCTGCAGGCCTCCCTACACAAATAAGCTTTCTATTTATTATCTCTTTGTTTTCTTGCTGGCAAGAAATGAATAGTGACTAATGTGTGAGACAGAGATCAGGCTGAGCTCTGTGTAGCATGCACTGAACGGATCGGAGCCACTGGAAAGCAAAGTTCATCGGTCCAATAAAACGAGCCCTTGATTTCAAAGCAGTTGCTGTGTCTTGTCACTGGTCCCTGAGGAGCAAAAGTGTTGTCATCCCACAGCCACCCCATGGGGTAGGGCACCAGGGCTGGATGCTGTCCATGCAGGATACTGTGGAGCATCTGCCCAAGCCAGGTCCCAGGATCCTGGCAGAGCAAAGGGAGGGGTCAAAGCAAAGGGAGAAAGACTGTACAGAGCTCCCAGTAACATCTCTCCCCATCACCACTCTCCTACCTCAGCCCCAAAAGCCTTCCCTTGTCAGTCCTTGGCAGACACTTGCTTCCCCCCAGCTCAGGGTGTCCTGCCATGTGTCTTTCCAATAATGCAAGGATGGGCAGGATTATGGAATTGTGTCCTTCTGGGCAACATCCCCTGTCTGTGCCTCTTTCTGCATCCATTTATGTGGGATGGGGCGCATCCACAGCCTGGAAATGATGTCCTCATCTCCATGGTGAGTTTGCTCAGCCCCTAGCTGTGGGGCTAGCAAGGTTTTCCTTGTGCAGAGCAAGGTTTAGGAGCACCAGGAGGAGATCAAATGACTAGCTGTGTTGGGGTGAGGAGTCTCCCAGTGGAGCAGGTGAGAGTTGGGCACGTGCAGCCTGTATCTGCTTCCTCTCTTGGATTTGTAACCCCCCTTTTGACAGGTAGGACAGGTGCATTGTGCATCTTCAGAGCAGAAGAATATCCTTCCTGGGCACTGTGGCTATGCATCACAAAAACAAATAAAAAAGCCAGGTAGAAACACTCAAGGTTGAGACATCACCAAAAGCTTCCCTGCACAGTTACTTCTGGCCAGGGCTAAGACACGGGGGGAAAGGGCAGAGACAGCTGCCTGCCTGCTTAGGCAAGCACAAGGGAAAGGATTTCAGGCAGTTTGAAAGCAGATAAGCTCTATTTGTACTTTTGAAACTAGGCTGAGTTTTTTCTGTCTCCTTGCATTACCACCTCTTTTGGGGAAGGAGTTACTGTTGTGGTTTGCAGAAAGCCCTCCCTGCCCTTTGGGTGTGCTGTACCTTCACAGTGGGCTGCTGAGATGACTGTGCTCCCCTGAGGTGAGCAATGGATGTGTTGGTATTTGGAGGAGGTATTATTGGGGGCGAATACTCTGGAAGGGTCGGTCCAGACCTCTTTCCTGTACCATCAAATCTCTCCATGGAGCAGCTGCAAAGGAAGCCTGGGAGACTGGCGCTAATCTCAGCCCTCATCAGTCCTTGCCTGTGGGTTTGCCTGTGGGTAAAATCCCAGTTGCAGCTACAGAGAACATAGATGCCTGAAGAAGTGAAATCAAGTAATGAACTCCCATCTGAAAAGTATAAATCTCTTGGGAAATTGTGTGTGTGTGTGTGTGTGTGTGTGTGTGTGTACAAATATATATGCTCTTCCCTGAAGCACCACCCCACTCCAAGTAACTCCTAACTCCCCAGTGCTGGCAGCACTTTGTTTGAGGTGGGTCAGAGCTGCTGTCAGCAGCTCAGCTGCAGTGAGGGCTCTGCTGGAAAGGGCTTGGGGATCCCTGTCCAACTGGGGATGGGCCCCACAGGGCAGTGCCCAGGTGAGATGTTCGTCTGCTGTCATGCTAAATTGCAATCCACCACCTCTTCTGCCCTTCACATCCTGGAGTGAGGGGAAGCTGCGTAGGAACTTTTTGTGCTTCTCTGTGTAAACGCAGAAATGTCTGGGCCTGGGGCGTTTGCTGGTGTGCGTACAGTGGGCATGGCAGCTCTTCCCCTTTGATTCAGAAAGGAAAGACTGCACGGGCTCCCAACAGCTTCAGTCTCCCCTGGGAAATGATGGCCTTTCCCAGCCCTCCTGTGTGAATGTTTGCTCCCTCCTAACTCCTGTGTCTTTTACATTGCTGGGTTTGATGGCCAGGATGGGCATCAGGTGGGTGGCTGGCAGCTTGAGGGGATGCTGCCTGGCAGAGAGATGTAATGCTGGTGCTGCCACATGTCACAGCCATCTCCAGAGCATAGCTCCTCAGGGAAAAACAGGGAAATCAGGTGCTGGGAAGTATCCCTGTGGAGTCAGCACAAACTCTGTGCATGTTCCCAGCCCTAAGGGCCCTGGGATCTTGTGGTGCTGGTGGGAGGCCTGGTGATCCCAGTGGCATCTCTCAAGCCCCAGACACTGAGGTGGGGGGTGTTGCAGGGCTGTACGTTAGTAACTGTCAAGTGTGCCCAGGTGGTGAGAAGCAGGAAGGGACTCTCCATGCCCACGGCTTGATGAGTGGTGGTAGGGATTGGTGGGTGCCAGTACAGGCATTGTCTCTGTTGGAGTTAGTCCATGCAGCAGCTGTGTGTATCTGGCTCTCTGCAATACACGTTCCATCCCACTCTTGGTCAGGCCCACAGATAGAAATAGCAGATTCTACACCCATGGACCTGTGTAATACAGAGCTCCCAGCTTGCACCCAGGCAATCCAGTGACTCACAGCCAAGCTGGCTGAAGCAGAGGGGCAGATCCAAAGCTGCAAGGGTTAAACAATAACGTTTACCCAGCCATGCCTAAGGGTCAGGCAGGCAGGAGCTGTTAGCAATAAAGAAGAGTAAATGGGCTTGATCAGCAGTCAATCTCAAATACTTCTGACTCAATTAGACACTCTCTCATTCCAGCTCTGGGCAATACCTATGGTCTGGGATATGGTGTGGGATGGGAATGCGTGATAATGCAATTCTCCTTCCAGGCATGATAACAGAGCCTCCTTCTGTGGACAACACTCAGTACCTAGGAAGAGCTAGGAAGAGCTTGTGTTAGCTCTTGCTGATCCTGCCCTGGGTGGGATTTCAAAGGTAACAGCTGTCTGGAACCCCCCTTTTGTTCCCAGGAGAAGAAGCCATCTACCACTCCCCTGACTCAGCCCAGAATTAACAAGGACATTTTATTCTCTACTCCAAACAGAATTTTTAAGATAAGAAACCTTTTTATTAACACATGTAAATCTAAAAAGACTCCATAAGAACCAATGTAAACTTTTCATATAAATATGGGGTCTGCACCCAGCAAGAGAGAGAGGGAGGAAGAAGTAAAAGAAAAGAAGAAAGGAAGGAAAGCAAGCAGGTCTAAGCCCAACACCAAGGACCTTGACTACATGCTTGCTACCCTGATGGGATAGATGGGGCAGATTGGGACTGACCCCTGTACCTGGTGATCTCTCACTCCTGAGTGCCCTGGGCTGCAGAGGAACCTCCAGAGGAGGGATAGGGGGTCTCTGCCTGTGCCAGGAGCTGCAGCTCCCTGGAAGGCAAGGGCAGAGTGTTTTCACCTCACCCCCAGCCTCCCTGTGCCAAAGCAAAAACTGAGCAATGCCTAACAGAATGCTCGCTTCTGAAATGCAGCTCTGGCCGAGGCTCAGAACAATGACAACCACTAAGAGGTGCTTGCAGCCAAGTTCTCTTGGGCCCCTTATGCTGGCCCTGGCATGCCTATTCCAGCTCCAAAACAACTGCACCTCTATCACAGACTGGCAGGCAAGAGTGGGCCTCATGGATAGCACAGTCCTGACTACAGCAGGTGGCGCTGGTGCATCCACCAGTTGGCAATCACCAGGGTGATAACTGACAGCCATGCTGTACCTGGGAGTCCTTGCTCTTTTATGGATCCCCTTAAGTTAGTGAGCATCTGAAAGAATCCTGGGCACGGCACCATCCTTGGTGCACAACCACAACCACAGAGCTTCCTCTCTTCCCAAACCAACACCTTCCCCTGGCAGATTCACAGGATGAAGGAGCCTGCAGCAAGGATGCTCATCCACCACATCCAACACGAAATGCTCACAGCCAAGCTCCCTTGGACCTCTGCAGCAGCCCTGGCATGCCTCTTCCAGTCCCACTACAACTGCACCTCTGTGCTTCCACTCTACTGAAACCGACAAAAAGATTACCAGCAGGTTCTCAGCTGAACTGTACTTTGGGTGAAGGCACTCACCCAATACAATCAAGGACTTGCAGCCAAGTTCTCTTGGCATGCCCTGCCTATGGAGAACCTGGCATGCCTATGACAGCCCCAACCCAGGTACCCCTCTGTGCTACCTCTCTTTAAAGAATTGACCCCATGCATATACACACATTCACAGAAAAACTCTCCTTCTCGCAGGTTCACACAGGAAATGCGAAATGGGAGAGCGGGCTCACCCACCATCAACTGCTCACAGACAAGGTGTCTTGGGTGACTACTGTTGCCTTGGCATGCCTCTTCCAGCCCAACTGCCCCTCTCCACTTCTTCCCTCTTCCCTGACTACTGGCAGGTTCGCACAACAAATGTGATCTGGGTGGGAGAGCTCACCCACAAGGAAATGCCTGCTAACAAGTGCTCTTGGTCCCCTACTCATGCCTTGGTGAGCCACCACTACCTTGACTCCAGCTACTCACAGCAATGCACCTAGACCAAAGCGGGGCTGCCCACAGCCACTCAAACCTCAGGCAAAAACCAGTGCCCTGCCACTGTCAGGAGTGTCAGCACCTAACTCCACCATGCCTATCACAGGGATGCCCACACACAAGGTGCTCT